GCAGCATGCCTGTGGGCCCTAAAGAATCAACTGGACCCCAGCATCAGGAAACTCCCCATGAGGAGGGAAGAGAAGGAACAAGGCAAGATGTCCAGACACTTAAATAAATGCAGCCAGCATTGGGAGAGAAGAACTGGGAAGGAGAGTTGAGTTAGAAAGAGATTGTGGGGCTGGAGAGATGGCTCAGTGGTTAAGAACACTGGCTGTTCTTGCAGAAGACCGGGTTCAAATCCCAGCACCCACATGGCAAGTAACAACTGCCTGAAACTCCAGTTCCAGGGGATCCAACAAACTCTTCTGTCTGCTGTAGGCATTGCACAACACGGGTGCACTCACATACATGCAGGCATGACACTCATATACATAAAATAAAAAATAATAATAGTCATGAAATTGGCAGGGAGTGGAGGATGTGGGAAGAGTTGGATGCAGGAGAGGGAGGAATGGAAATGACATAAATACAGTACTCAGGGGGTGCACTTACCTACATGCAGACAATACACGCATACACATAAAATAAATATAATAAATAAAATATTTTTTAAAAAGAAAGAGGTTGTGTAAATAATTAGAAGTTCATCGCTCCAGATGGTGAAGGCAAGGGTAGGCAGCAGAGCCGTGTTCAAAACCAGGTGGAAACTGGTCACTGTGGCCAGGGTATGAGAGGGCCCAGCATTCCAGGTTAACACAGAAACTGTATTTATTGATTTGACTGGCCAACTGCATACCTCAGTTTGCAATATTTTTCTTTTTGAATATCTACTGCTTTAAATTTCTGCACAAAAACATCTGACTTGTTTTGGGGTATCCCAATATTATAGCGCATATTTAAATATTTCAGCAAGGACCCCATGTAAGAATTTGTATATGTGCATGTTAAATATTTATTACTTTTCATCTAAATCTTAGTGGAAGTTGGTGGTGCCAGTGTGAACACAGCCTTAAAGTCGGTGAAGCTGCAAGTCTAGTCAGTCTTCACTCAGGAGAGGGTGGGGGAGTCTACTTTAAGAAAAACAGTTTTCTGTATCTCTGACTGACACCTGAGGTTGTAATTAGACTGGTGATATTGGAGCCATTAGTGAGCCGGTAATAGTGGAGAAACTGAGGCTGGGCGGTAGGGTCAGGGAAGTGTGGGGCATGGTAGAGTTAGGACAGAATCATTCCACACCCACAGCTGCCTGTGCCCATGGCTCTCAGTGGACCTGCCTTGCCCACGAGATACTGTCTACAGTGCTCTTAAGTGCTTATTAAACACGTAGGCTAATCCCTGTGTCCAGTTCCCTAATCCAGACTGAAGTCTGTGTGTTGCACTCATTCGAGCACTCAGTTGTGAACGGTGTCCGGGGAATTCTAGTTAACACGCCTCCTGAAGGGTACTTGATTTCTATCTAGCATAGGAGGAACTCCACTTATTCCGGTATGGTGGTTGGAATGATAAACATCACCCATAGGTTCACATATTTGAACACTCGGTCCCCTGTTAGTGGTGCTGTTTGTGGAAATTTTGGAAGTATGTTCTTGCTGGAGGAAGTATGTCACTGTGGGTGGGCTTTGAGAGTCCATTGTCTCATCCCCATTTGTAGTTTTTCCTCTCTGCTTCCTGCCTATGCTTGGAGAGGTGAGCCCTCATAGTCCTGCTCCAGCTACCTCCTGCCATGCCTCCCCACCATTATGGACTCTCCTGGAACCCTAATCCAAGATAAACTTTCTTCAAGTGGCCGTGGTCATGGTGTTTTTTTCCCAGCAACAGAAAAGTAACTACTATATCCAGTGAGTGTTGCTTTCCACTTTTCTTATTGATACACTTTTCTATCTATAAACAATGAAAAGTAATTAGACATCTTCAGACAATACAAGTTAAAGCAAACAAATGCGTATGTGTGTGTCATTGTGTGGAAATCCAGCCCCTTGGAAAACTGCAGGCGCTTAAGAATTTTATTTTTATTTTTAAAAGACTGTTACTTTTGATATATTTTATGTAGGCCCAAACAAACAAATTAATTTCCACTTTAGCAAATTTTTTTTCTGGTATATTCAGGTCAGTTAATGATCACTGTGGTTTTCAGGGAGTCTAAATGGAAGCTTTGCCCTTGGACAAAGACCAAGGACAACCATAGGACTTCCCTGTGGTCCACCTCACTTAGGCTTCTTGATTAATAATTCTAGTTCAGGAAGACAAGTGCTGCTGTGGTCACTTTACAACTGAGGAAACCAGAGCAATGTGAAACTAAATGGCCCATCTGCCCCACACAATGGCACCACCCAGGAGCCTGAACTAAGCTTTTTAGCATGACCTGACTAGTCCATAGCTCTTGCTAGTACCCAAGCTACCAGAGCCAAAGGGACATGATTTAAGTGGAATTATGCATATCAAGGTGTTACTTGGTATGTTCAGAGCTGAAGCTTAAGCACATTGTTGCAAAGCATCTATGAAGGGATCCTAGTGGTGTCATTTTCTGGCAGAACATATGGATTCTGCTTCAGCGGAACTATGTGAGAAGGCTGCTGTAGGCAGTCCTGAGCTTGGAGCTTTGAGGTAGTAACAGTCTCCATCTTTCAGTGTCAGCCACCATCACATGAGGCCATTCGCAATAAGCCTACACTCTTAAATAAGAGTGTATAAGAAGACTGCCAAAAGGACTGTCTTGGAATGGTCTAGTCAGGTGACCCAACCCTTTGCTTCAAGCATCCTGTGGCTCCTATGTCCTGTTCTCGGGCCTCAGGAACAAACAGGTGAGGTGATTATCTCCATTTCATAACTGAAGTAATAAAATTGAAAATATAAAATGCTGCATATACACCTGGAACCCCAGCACTTGAGAGGCAGAGGTAAAAGAATCTCCACAAGTTCAAGGCCAGTCTAGTTTACAGTTTGAGTTTGAGGTAGGTCAGGGCTATATCTTGAGACCCTGTTTGAATAACACCCTCATAAAAAGTAAAAATTTTAAAAAAGAGTATAATGCCTGAAGATTCTTTAATTGTTCCGAGTCCCTAATTAGTCCTTCTGAGTCCAAGCCCTACTGTATAAGGGTTTTATGTAACTTTAGACTAATTAGGGGAATTTAAATCACGAGAATTACTTGAGTCAACATTTTGTTACTATAATGAAATACCTGGGAAATTAACTTTTAAAAGAAAAGGCTTATTGCATAACATAAGGTTTATTTCATATTCTTCAGAAAAGGCTGTTATATATTAGCTCACAGTCCTGGAGGTACCAGTGCAAGATCAGGTAGCCCCATCTCTTGACAGGTGGGTCAGTGACAGTGGTGGAAAGCACACAGTAGAGCAAACTGCTTACCTCACAGCCAGGGAGCACAAGAAAAAAAAGTGAAAAAAGAAGGGAAAGGACCAGAGCCCCAGAGCCTCACAATCCCCTTCAAGGGCATGCCTCTGTAGCCTAGGGACCTCCCACTAGGCCCTGCCATCTAAAGATTCCAGCACCTCCCAAGAGTGAGGACCAAGTTTTTAACATGGACCTTTGGCTGACATTTATTTAAACGATACAACTGTTCTTTTTTAATTCTCCATTATTAGGTATTTTGTTTTAGCAACAAAAAATAGACGTGCTGGATTTATTGGTAGACTTTAGTGGATCTTTGGGGACACTTACCCAAGCCATAGCAAGAATATTAATTTGTTCTGCCACATAAGGGATCTAGCCTATTAAATTTTGCAGAATTTGTCTGTTGCGGGGTGTGTCCCCATCTATTAGTTTAGAAATAATGTAGAAAATGTTTGGTGTATAATGCTGGCTCAGCATGGCTAGAGGGAGGCCCGCTTTCCTGAAAACAAGACATTGGATGAAAAGTGGTTAAAGGAGAAATTTTTAGTATTGACTGGCCCTTTGTTTGAAGCACCTGACTGCTTGGCTTCGAATTCTGAGACGGGCTGCAGAGTGGAAAAACAGAGTGTGCCTCTCCAGCACTGATTGCAGTCCTCAGTCAGGTCATCTGGGAAGATGTCTCCGTACAGGGACCTTCCAACTTTGGGCAGCTGCCACCCGCTCTTAATTTCCTTTTCCTCATGCATTCCCTCTTAGAAAAGGAGGGAATGCCTCTTAAGGGAACATAGTCTGTTTCTCCCAGTAGATGGTAACCTCTTTTTTTCAGGGCCATGCTTCTTAGGATTTGGTCCATGTGAGCTGATTTCCCCAAGGTCTGGGTTAGCCCTGCATTAGATCATTGAGGTTACCTACTCCAAAAAGTTAAGCTTTGTGTCACCAAGAGTGTGTGTGCTAGCCACCAGTTTATTGCTACATCATTTCAGGGTACGGAGCAGGCTGCTAAGATTTCTGACTGTAGCGAGGATGTCACAGATGGCAAAGAACTACTCTCAATGTGTGTAAAATCTCTACCTCACACCTTGTTCACTCTTAAACACAGCCATAAAATTTGTACGACCTTCTCTCCTGGATTGATGATTCTCTGGGGACTCTGTCTTATTCTGCTTTGAGTCTCCAGGTTTTGTTTTGCACATAGTGGAAATTTAATACTTGGTTGAACTGAGTTGTACAAAGTTTTTCAATACAAAAGGAAATTTGGGCAGATTAAAATACAGGTGGGTCATCCTAGGACACCAATTCAGATACTTATGTTTGATTCCCATGGCCTTTTCTGGTTATTCAAATCAGAGATCTCTTTCATAACCAAAACTATATATCAGGAAAGAGATGGGTGGAGCAAAGACCACGTAACTGCCTACTACTTCTCGATACGAACAGCTATCTGTGGTACCACCGGATGCCAGGGACTGTGTTGTGACTACATTTGCTTTATGTAGTTGTAGAACCTTCATTTTTCAGCTTGTGCAGTCTTTCTTGGAGGCTGTTGAAACAAGTAATATAGAACCAGCACTGTGTAAGAAGAAGGTCTTGTCAGAACTCTCTGCAGGGGAGGTGGAGCTGTGGGAGATTCAGCAGGCGGGGCACTCTCCTAATTCTGCAAAATGGGGATTGTATCATGAACATCCTGACCTATTTCCCACTTTTCCATCTTCAGGCCTCCTGGTGGGCACCCTTGATGTAGTATTGGACTCCAGTGCCCGGGTTGCTCCTTACCGAATCCTTTACCAGACTCCAGACTCTCTGGTCTATTGGACCATTGCCTGTGGTAAGTCCCAGTATTCTTATGCACAAGTTTACAGAAAATCTTTATGAGTAACAGCATTCTGTCAGAATGGAAGGAGTATGAGCTTGCTGAGTATATTGCCTTGGTATTTTACAGTAATGAACCTTAGTCACTTCAGCACAAGAACCTGAGTTGCCTGTGACCTCACAGGATAAACTTTCTCACTCTCAAGTCTTCTTAGGACCACATAACCTTCATCTGGGGTGACATTATGTGAGGAAAACCAGACCTCTAAAGTCAGCTTATAAGGGAGGAGTAAACAGTGGAGCCCAGCTGAGCTTAACTTCCTCTGCCAAAAATGGCACAGATCACTTCACTCAGACCTCATTGGCTAGAACTAGTCACATGAGCGTTTTCTAACTGAAAGGGAAACTGGGCGATAAAGAGGAACACTGGTATACTTATGTGTACTCAGTGATCCCTGATAGATCTTAGCACAGTACCTCCTCTAAGGAGAAATCATTTCTCTCTCTTGATGACAATCAATGCAGAATAATTGCAAACAATCCTGCTATTGTTGGATCTCACAAAATGGCCAAGACTTTTAAAAATTGTTTAGTTGTGGCTTTTAAAATTACCATGGGAGGGCCTGGAGACATGGCTCAGAGGTTAAGAGCACGGACTGCTCTTGCAGAGGACCCGGGTTTGATTCCCAGCACCCACATGGCTGCTATGAACCGTCCTTAACTCCAGTTCCAGGGGAATCCAAACCCCTCTTCTGACCTCTGCAGCTTTGCACACCATGGGTGAACTCACATATATGCAGACAACACACTCAAACACATAAAATAAAAATAATAAATAAAATATTTAAAAAAATAAATAAAATTACCATAGGTAAAGCAAGGGCACTGAATACTGTTTTGCTTTATAGTTTTTATTGTTTCTTCTTGATATTTTTATATTAAGAGGCTTTATTTTTAGAACAGTTTTAGCTTGACAGAAAATTTGAACAGATAGTTCAGAGATTGCCTGTATGCCCTTTACCCCATAATAACACCTCCTACCCAGTTTCCACTACTATTAACATCTTACTACAATATACTTTTTACAATTAGTGAACTAGTACTGACAGACTATTATAAAATAAGGCCCATGGCTTATCCATATTTCCTTAGCTTTTCCTAATACCATTTTTCTGTTCTGAGATCCCACCAGTAAACCCTGACACTTAGTTGTCAGATCCTTTTGGTTTGTCTTGTTTGTGGAAGTTTCCCAGGATGCCTTGTTTAGGGTGTGTTGACAGTTCTGAGGGATATTGCTCCAGGGTGTATTGTAGGATGCTCCCCTATTAGATTTTTTATTTAATTTTTTTGCAGTACTGGGGATTGAACCTAGGGCTTCTAGATGCTACGTAAGCACTCCACCACTGAGCTACATCTTCAGTCCTTCATTTGGATTTTGTCTGATGCTTTTCTTGTGTTAGACTAGATGGTGGGTTTTTGATGACAAAGATTACAGATATAAACATTCTTTTAATCTAATCATGACATAGGTATCTGTTAGCAATGTGACTTATGACTGCTGAAGTCCTACATGAAATAATGCTTTTCCAGTTTAGCCAGTCTAAAGTCACTTTTCCTTTTTTGTAAACTGTACTTGGGAAGAAAGTCACTGTGTACAGCCCAACGTGAATGGAGCATTTTTCTTCCCCCCATTAGGATAGAATATCCAAACGATGTGCTGGGAATTCTTCTGCCCAGATTTGTTTACATTCCCTCTATTCAATTATTTATCTTATACCCTGGAACATAATTCAATGCTCCTTTAATTTTTGTTCCAGTTGTTCCACATTTAGCTGTGGAGATGCCTTTCAGTTGACTTTATTCTGTTTTTAACTTAGTCTACTCTTGGTAAAAAGTGCTGTGCTAGGATCTAAAAGGTATCAACAAAATTAGGTCTGGTCTCTGCTCTTGAGAAATTCAGTCTCATGAGGATAGAAGTACTCCAGCTGGGATAACAGCCACTCCCAGCCCAACCTGAACAAGTATCATGCAGATCCCTCTGAGTGCTGAAAGCCCAGATAAATCTTGAATTCCAGGCCGATGTCTATGCAAGTAGGAGAAAGTGGCTGTGATTTCAAGCTGCCGGGAGCTCAGGTTGCCTAATGTTACTTCTGCAAGGGTTTAGTAGGACCCAAATTTTTAATATTTTAGCTGTATTTCTTTACAAATAGGTATCCTGGTTAGGATGCAAACAATGCCATGAGAGACACTTGACTATATTAGTCATTTACATAATCAGGTGAATGAAGGAAAGAATGCTTTAGGGTTTAGGGCCTTGAGAACCTGTGAATAATGAAGACTGGATGAGAGGAAAGGAATGAAGGCTAAAGAAAGAAGAAAACTGAGGCTCTGGAGCCAGCTTTACCAGCATGCCCCTTGTTCAGAGATCCTCTTAGGATTCCAGCCGCCTGTGGGGGAAACTCAGTGAAGTGCTGTGTGGGCTGTGCTGGTAGATGGTTGGGAAAGTTGGCAGTGTTAAAGCAGACATTGTAGCCAGAAAAGTGGAATTAAAAACAAAAAGACATGACTGAGGAGATGTATCAGTAGGTAAAGTGCTTACCAGGACATGAGTTCAATCACCAGAAACCACATAAAAAAGCCACATGTGGTGGTATGAATTTACAGTCCCAGTGCTGGGAAAAGGGAGACAAGCAGATCCCAGAGGTTCACTGACCAGCCAACCTAACCTTTTGGCAGCTCAAGGCCAGTGAGAGTCTCTGTCTCAAAGAAACAAAGTAGATGAACCTGAGGAATAACATCTGAGGTTGTTCTCTGAACTTCACAGGCATGCACACACCTGTTCTCATGCCTACACATACGTATGCACTTGCACATATATGATTGCACACACAGGAAACAAAAACTCATGAATGGGCTGGAGAGATGGCTCAGCAGTTAAGAGCACTGGCTGCTCTTGCAGAGGACCCAGGTTCAAATCCCAGCATCCACATGGCTGCTACGAACCATCTGTAACTCCAGTTCCAGGGGATCCGATGCCTTCTTCTGACCTTCTGAGGGCATTGCATGATATGATATGGGTGCACTTACATACATGCAGGCAAAACACTCTTACACATAAAATAACAATAATAACAAAACCCAGAAAGGGCATTAAAGGCCATAGGAAGCCATTCTAGCACTGGACTTGATGAGAGTGTGACACCTTCGCCTCCTCCTGCAGTTCCATCACCCCTGTCCCAGTTGGTTTGAGGATCCTGTAGAAGTAGGAGGCTGCGGGCCCTTGGATCTCTTTCCAGCTCTCAGGGCTTCTGGGTCCCTAGGTTAGCTTGCAGTGATTGAGGAGAACTTGTGCCTCTCTGTGACTTTTCTTCTACTCTCAGTTGTCACCTTTCCTGTTCATTGCCTGACATCAGTGTTCTTCCATCGATTTGTGGGGCTTTGCCATTCCACAGAGCAGCTCTTCCCATGAACACTGCTGTGGGGTGGAACCAAGGCTGACAAAGCTGAGTTATTCCTTAATTGTCTGCTGAGCCAAGGCTAAGGAACAGTTTACTGTAATTGCTGATGGCATAATTTATACCCCAAAGAGATGCACTTTCATTTTCTCAGTAAGTAATGCCTGTCATAACTGCATGATCTCATTGTAATAAACCCAGGATGGTTTCAGCTTTTGTGTATATTGATTACCCAAAGAGACAGCCCAGAATTTCCTTACGGAAGGATCCTAGGAAGTGACAACCATTGCAAAGCCCCGTTCACCCAATAATTGTTCTTTCTTAATGATTTCCAATTTTTTTTTTGTGTGTGTGTGTGTGTGTGTGTGTATGTGTGTGTTTGAAATCCTAATTACTGGTTCCCTTTCTTGAGAAGATTTTTAAGAGCAGAAGCTCCTTCCACACAGATTTCTTCAATATGTTGACCTTTCTGTTTTTAATTTTGGTGTTTTTTCACAAGCTACAAAGTTGGTAATTGGTAGGAAAATATAGCAAAGTCTTTTTAGTTTGCTTAGATTTCATGAATTGTTGTAAGAGAAACTTCAGGAGAAAATTAGTGAGTCTCATTCACTTCCTTGTAAAGCTGTAAGGTTACCAAGCCTTGCCCAGGGTAGTGTGCATCATCTGTCCTCAGTGACTCTGAGATGAACTACAGGACCATCTGCTACATGTCTTGACATGGAGCAATCTCTGTAGATCAGCAGGACTCTGCACTGTAAATTCTAGGTGTAAGGTATAAATTCTAGGTGTAAGGTTTGCTATAGATTTGGGGCACAGGAAACTAGGCGGAGGAATTTTTGGGCCCTATAAGTGTAACTTACTGCCAGAATAATAATTATTTGGCCTGGAGCAATGTGAACTGCATTGTTTGATGGACACCTTACCCATCACACAGTCCTGAACAGGGTGTTGGGTTGGCTGCCCGCTGTTTTGGGTTAACTTTTCTTTACCAGCCTAGAGTCTCATCTGGGCCTTGTCGGCCATTCGGTTTCAGAACTGGCAAGTCCATCAGCCATCATCTTGTCAACCATCGTATTTTAGGAGGATACAGAGGCAATGTTCACATTCTCAGTAACAGCTAGTTATGTAGAGCTCAACCCTTCATCTCACACCTCTGTGCTCTGCGCTAGCACTGTGTAAGCGGAACCATGCTGGCTTTATGATTAAACATTCTTTCATTCAGTCGCAGTAAGACACAGAGATTAATTAGACATTGCTGCTGTTTCTGCTTTTGATACAGTAGACAAAACATGTTGGCTAACTCAGTTGCCTTCCACATGAGATAGACACAATGTGAAAGTTGATAGGCTTTTTTATAATCATTTTCAGTGTATAATTCATTTGAGTGTGTGTGTGTGTGTGTGTGTGTGTGTGTGTGTGTTTTCATGTGTATGAGAATGTGTGGGCATGCATGTGAGGGACAGAGGACAACCTGGGCTGTCATTCGTCAGGTACTGTTCACCTGTTTTTGTGACAGAATCTCTCATTAGCCCAGGACTTATCAAGTACAGTAGGGTGACTG